CCACTTCAAAGCAACGAATGACATTTTGACATTGCTCAATGAAATGTTACAGCAGAAGAAAAAGAAGAAACCCAATAATAACTGACATACAAAACACGTGGAATGTAATTTTAACACTTTGAAGCTAATAGCCATGATCGCAACAATTAAATCGTAGTAATTTGAAATAAAAGAGTTCATAAACTCTAAAATCATGGCAACGTTGTTACATATATCTAAATATATGTATATATGCATGTGCAGGCAAGCATATAGAGCATACATAACGCTCAGTGCCAATAAATGTCATTTGACATGCCATATACTCGTATGTATGTTTGTATGTGTTTATGTGTGCATTCAATATATGTATGTATGAATGTACATACATATGTACATATATTGAATTAACTGAAATTGTATCGTAAAGGAAAAAAAGTCGTAAAATGCAATTTTTTATGTTACAAATTTCAACACAACAACATGACAAAAATTTGTTTACTTTCAAGCAACGTAAATAAATAACAAACGATAAGAAGCATACGGCCGAGTACATACAGTAATCAGAGTAACGTAGCGACGGCGTCGGCGGCGGCACCACCACCACTCGCCACGCTCTGGACCCACCACAGCGCCACAAAAGCAACCAACTAATGGGGACGCGCCAACGCCGTGTCGTCCGTCTGTGTACTGTGTGCTGTGTGCTGTGTACTGTGTCGACTAGTGACTCTCGACTGCTGACTGTTGATTTTGCCTGCATCAAGTTCGCAAATTTATGATAACCATTTATCAATGCTGCTGCGGCGGATTTCGTTTAGCATTCGGCACTTAGCCTCAACGTCGCCGAAGTTGTTTTTTTTTTTATTTTTTTTTCCTGCTCCCTGCTAAAGCTAAAATATACAAATGAAAATATGCATACATACATACGCATATTCATACATATGTGCATATATTTGTTAGTGTGTTGTTTGTGTTGTGTGCTTCCCTTAATCGGAAGCATTGTGGGTGGTCGCGAACGCTGAGTCGCGAACAAGCAAGTGAGCAAGCCGCCAACCAGTTGGCGACTTCCAACAGACGACCTACAGCGAAGCCGCGCCATTCCACATGCCGGCCGCTCGTCCGTCTATCCGTCCATTCGCGTTTCGTCCATCTACACGTCAAAGAGCTGATATTGAATTGTGAATGACGACATTAACGTCTTCTGTATGGTAACGGCGGCGTTATTGTTATTGTTGTTGTTGTTGTTGTTGTTGTTGTTGTTCGATTTGTTGGCAATGCTTCGTTGTGCTGTGGTGGTTGGGGAATAACGTGTACGAGTGATCGCTTCAGCGAGGCACTGTTCCGCGGCTCACTTGAATTAAGCGATCTCGACAGTGTGCATATGTAGTGCTACAAGTGGACATACATACACACATACATGCATATGATGATGAATGTTTGTGCTCGTGTGTTGTTGTGGTTGTTGTTGTTTGACGCACCCTACTTAAAGGCAGCCAAGTTGTTCTGATAATACAATAAATTGTTTTGTAAAAAAGGCTTAGAGGGCAGGGCTCTGGTGGGCACTGGTATATACATATGTACATATGTATGGACGGTATCAATAACAGAAAAACTATACTTCGAAATATCTATGTATGTATGTATATGCCGCTGGCAGGATAAAGGGGAAAGCATTTAAATATTTATTAGGCAGAGATAGAAAGAGAGATAGGGAGAGAGAGAGAGAGAGACGAGGGAGACAACCTTAAGCCTTAATTGTGCATTGGATTTTTTATTTACACAGAAAAAGGGTTCGAATACAATTTGTAGCTTTGAATTCTATGAAAAATATAAATAAAAGGATTAAAGTCGGATTTTTTACAATTTCCTTTCCTGTGAAGCTCCATTAGTATGTACATCTGTATGTATGTGAGAAATTGAAAGGGTGGATATAATATCTGAGAAAGAGATCAAGCAAACATTCGCATCCGTGAAGTGGTTGCCTTTTAACTACGGTCGGGCATTAATTAATACGAACAGCTCCATCGGTATGGATATCTCTAGAAACCAATATGGATTTATACTTTCTTTGAAAATGAGCTCCAATTTGTAGTGGGCAACTCGATGTTTTCCCAACAAATGGGAGCCCTACAATTTATACTAAGTCGGCTCTAAATGGACGGTGGATTTTTATCAGAGAAGTTCTATTTTATGTCAGAAATAAACTCGGAGGGTTTTACACTCCTTGCCGAGGGGCGGTTGCAATTAGAAAAATTATTTCTATATAATTTTGGTGTGAAACCATTGCTCCAACCCTGATCTTCAGTACGAATGCTAACCACTCGGCTATTATGTGCACTAAAAATCGCCTGCCTATCCGAACTCACCCCGCTTATATGTTGTATATACATATATAATTGATGCCTTGAGTTCAGTTCAGTTGAGCTCTTCCTCGACAATATCATACTCTATGAATCTCAAAACAACACTAACCATTGCTGTCCACAAAACTATCTCATCCAGCACGCTTTTCACATTGGTCCGAGCTCGTCGACGGAACTAGTTTTCGACACAGTACACAGCGGCTTCCATTAGATAACCTCGATGACAAGGCTAGACTAGTCTGCTGTTAAACGGGATTCCCGAATCACTACAGCAACAACATTAACCAAAAACCTAATCCAAATCCCAACCCTTTGACAGACAGAGGCGAGCTCATTGTCAGCTCGTTTGAAATCTAGAAACTCTTTAAAAAAAAAAACACAGTATGCACTCCTACCCACTGCCACCTTTTGAAGGTCTTCCAACTATCAAAATTTATTTCTCCTATCTCATATGCTGGAAATTTTACGATTCTGTCGTACGGCAAGATTACATTCAAACCTTGGCTAATCTATATCTTATCGTTCAAATCGATTCGAATCTGTATCTTTTATGCATCGGAAAACACCTCCCACTCTAAGCTTTTTGTATGCTTTACTGTGAGGATCATTAACTCTTCCACTCGCTGCGCTGAATTGATGTCAAAAGGCAATTTTAAGCTAAAATTTATTCAGTTCTTCTAAGCTCCCCAACTTCTCTGATTGGTAAGGTGCTATTGAAAAAGGAAGATGAAAGTATCACGCCCCTTACCTCTAGGTCGAGTCGGAATAAGAAGGAGTACATTCTACTAAAATATTCGGATTTTAAGAACTAATTAAATTACACCGGGAAACAACAGTAGTTCCTTGAATCAGTCGGTAATATAATGCGTAGAGCGCTTAAGTTATGTTTTCCTAAATGGAGTCCGTACAGTTTAGTACTTGCTTTCTGATGTGCTTGTAGGAGCTTACAAAGCAGGTGAAGATTGAAATTAGTAAAGATGTCTAACAATGTGGATGGTGCACAGACGATGTTAAGTGGTTTCCTATTTCGTTTCTCTAGGCGGTATTATGTCAACATTATAGCCTCTACGTTTGCGTCTCGCTAGTCGGAGTAATTTATGACCTACAACCCCTATCCATTTGAGTTGGCAGGAATTTTTCTTTGCCTTTGACCAGCTTCTAGTTAGTCGATTAAGAATTTTTAGTAACAATCACGGTTTAATGCCGAATGGAAAAGTGCAACAGTGCAAACTCTCCAATGTCTATAGCTTTCGACGTATTAAGAGTCGGATCGGTCGGTTTCCTTCGTTTTGCTAGTGAAAAGGATCGCCGTTATTTTCGAGGATTGAGAGTTGTAAATGACTAGTATTGAGGGGGTGAGTAAGAAATGGGAAAGACTACTTTCAAGCGGAGATTACCATCATTCTGTTCTTTGAAATTAAAAAATGCATCAGCAGCTTGGACGCACACCAAAAATCAAAAGAAAACCTCGTCCAAAAATCGCTTCAGCAGTTTTCGAGCGCCCATTATTAATATGAATTATTTCAATATTAATTTTATTGTAGGAAAAGATAGAGATGAAGAGATGTTTACCATGTTGTGGTTGTAGTAACCGTAAAAGATTACCCAAAACGTTTTTAGAGGAATGTTGAGTGAGCGACAATGTTTAACCGGTTAAAAATCCAGGACGCTCCAGTATAAAAAAACCCGACTGTCACGAGTGCTACTGGATTTTAGAAGCCTCTTATGACAGACTTACCATAGTGCTGATCAATTTTTCATTTCAAAAGTAAATATTTATTTGGTATTCAACTATTTTTGATATATATTCAACATGTATATATATATATCTATATATATATGTATGTATATATATATATTATTATCATCTGTTTTTTCTCTTATAATTATCTGTTTTTTTTTTCTTGTAATGCTACATATTTAAAATTTGTTTAATCAAAAAAAAATTAAATTTTGAAAAGGTTTTAGAATTTTTTTGTCACCACCATTTTTCCCAACACCATCCCACTGTACGCCTAATTGAATTGTTAAGCGCGTCTTAATAACTTTATTTCCTTTTGGAAACGCGACTGAGAAACACCAATAAGGAGAACATAAAAAAGGCAAAGAGCATAACTTTTAACGCTCACCTTTCGTTCGTTTCGCTCACTCAGCCGGACACATGAAAAGCCTGGAATCATCTGAAGCAACAACATCTCTAACCTGCTTTTTTGATTAAAAACAACGTTATAAATATTTCAAAAATAATAACAGAAAAATAAATATTTAAAAGAAAATGGTCTTGTTTTGGCAAAGCCTTAAATATAAATGCCAAGAAAATCACTGAATATTATTTGTATTAATTTATTAATTCCACACACAGCAAACGATTTTTTACAAAATGCACTTTATTGTTATTTCTAAATAAAACTACATTGATTGTACTCACACACAGCGGCATTCAAGAGAAATGCGACTGTAAATAAGAGATCGATTCTATGTGTTCTGAGAATTTTCAAAATGAAACACACACATACCCCAAACAACGATCTCCGCTCTCAACACATTGCCGGATAGAGCGCCATCGGAAATTGGAGAGTAGCCACTAGAGTTTCACTGCTCTGCTGCTGAGGCAAAACAAAGTGAGCGCAGAAATCAAAATGGCCGCATTTGACAGGAAATACAATCAAACAATGGCTAGTTTGGAGAGCGGCTGAGCGTATGAACGATAGTGTGTGAGTAGGCAGCGGCATAGCGCTAACAAACGTACACATTTTGTACGAGATGAGTACATGGCTTTGTACGAATTAATGAAGTTATTTCTGCTTTATCTCCGCAGCCATCGGAAGGTCTTTTCGGATGACAGTTGGTGGTAGCGGCGGCAGCAGCAGCGACTCACCACCACCACCATCAACATGAGCAGCAACAACTCTATTTATGATTACCAGCAGTAGCTGAAGGTTGAAGCAGAATTTCTGGCATTAGAGTGCAGGCCACTCACTTAATACGCTCAGATTTCATTCGATCCCCGTTGTGGCAACACGTTGGCAATTCTACGTCGCGTGGTGAAAAGTGAATATTGAAATTTTTGTAAAAAAAATATATACATATTCTAACCAATTGCCAGTCGTTGGTGGCCTTAGAATTATTTTACTTAAGCGGCGTGGTAAAAGTAACAACAGTGGTTTGCTTCCTTTAAAAAAAGTGTTAAAGAAGTTCCTTGAAATTTGTATTGAGGATCAACACAATCCAACAACTTCTTCGAGTAATAAACGACATTCAATGGAATTTTCGTGCGCTACAACGACGCTATTTTTTTGGCGTGAGAGCGAAGTGTATGGTAAAGAGGAAAACAAAAAATAAAAAATATTAAATATAAAGAACAAGTGAAATAAAATGAAAAAACATATGCGTGTGTAGAGTAAAAAACGTAACAAAATAATAAGAGCAACGTATAAATTAAAGTGCAAGTGTAAATAAATAGTTGACAACTTAACAAATAAGTTAAAAAAAAGAAAAACATCAACAATTTATGGTAATGACCACACAAAGCGCGCAGTCGTTGATTTGTAGTTAAGCGAGAAATTGCTTATTTCTCTTTTTATTTTCACATACATACTTATGCATGCAAATATGTATATGTACGTATGTATAATACATATATGAAAACGAATTAATGAATGAAAACAAACGTGAACGCGCGTATAAATTTGTCTATAAAGTGTGGAAAAATGCAAATATTATAAACGCGTGCGTAAATGTGGCGTAGGTATTAAAGGTATTAACAAACTAAGACAAAAAAAGCAAATAAATTTTGCATAAACTATTTGTTTATTTCATGTATCAATATTATGTTAAAAAAAATACAATTTACACATAAAGTTCATTAAACGCCGCATTTACACCGACTAACCTCTTAATTTTCGCCTTCAACCCAAACTAAACGTCAAAGCAAAGCAAAAACTGCATGAACAACAAATACGCTGCACTAATAGCGTGTGCAGTTGCAACAACAGCATAAGGGTGTGTTCACACAATATTTTCCGTGTTATCATCGACAAATGTAAAGTTACGTTGCATAATTTTAAAGAAAAAGAAAATCATTAAACTTTGCTTTAAAACAGTAAAGCAGTGAAAGAAAAACAAAACAAAACGACAACAGCACAAAAATGGTTGTACCCACTATGGATGGTCTACCACGCGTACCAGACACACATGGCGATGTGGTCGATGAGAAATTATTTTCAGATTTATATGTACGCACCAGTTGGGTGGATGCACATGTCGCACTCGATCAAATCGATAAGGTATGTATTTTAAGTTATTTTAGTCACTTATGGGTGAAATGAGATTGGAAAATCTTGAAACATAAATTTCAAGTGAAAAACTTCAGATGAAAAATACAGAACAAAACAAAACTTTAAAATTTTTCCTTATTAAATGTTTATTTTTTTTTTTACTATCTTTACACATCAAATGAACGCTAAAGCGTCTCAAAAAAAAATTCTTTATTGAGGTATTAAGGAAGGAAATCCTTTGTATAAGGATTATTGAAAGAATTTTCCATCATTTTCCATTCTCTTTTTAACTGCTTACTACATTGGTTGACTTAGAAAAACTACACTAAAAAGCTTAAAAATTGTTTAAATTCGGTTCACTCATGTTTAGTAATAAACTACAGACGCAGAGAATGGAGGTAGCTGATTTTATTAAATTCTACGCTCCAATTTTTTTTGTCGTTCTTTACATTAGAATCCTCGGTTTTAATAACATACGAAATTAAACATTTCTTACTTTTTAAATTTTTTTTCTTTTCAATATTTTTTTTTAATTTTAAATATTTTTTTTTGGAATTTTCAATATTTTTTTTTTAATTCTCAATATATTTTTTATTTAAAAAATTATCGAGGTAAAAAAAATCCTTTTAATTTTGGCTTTACCTAAAACCCGTGCTTCCCAAACACTGTGTTAGGTTTGCAAGCCTTCCTGGAGAAAAATTGACAAACAAAAAATCAGAAGCGCAAGTGCAACAATGTAAATTTTCAATCAATGCGCGCGTCGTCTGTTTGTTGTTTTGGCTACATTACTGTCAGCTGCAACAAAAATAAGTACGAGCTTTCAAGCACAAGGCATAAAAAAGTGAATACATGTACGTATGTATGTAAGCAAAACAAACTGTAGTTGCACATAAATAAAAGGTGCTTTCCTGCCTTCGTCTTCAACATATTTTATTATGCATATTAAGGTAGTAATTTTTTTTTTATAAATAGGTTTTTCTACTTTTTTTTGTCGAAGATCATCAATCAGTACTGCAGAGAAATTTAACTGTTGCCGCGTAAACGGTGTACAGTGCGTAAAACAAGTAGTCACACTAAGTGTTTGTGCCCATAAACTAACAGTTGTGGATAAAAATAATTAAACTTTATTGTAACTATGAAAAAAAAATTAAATAAAATAATAAAAATATATTAATAAAAACCTAAAAAATAATAATTAAAAAAAAATTAAAAAAATATTGGTAATATTATTAAAAGTAAAAAATAATACCAAAAATAAAATTAAAATATTAATAGTTGAAAAGTTATCAAAAAATTATAATACGTGTAAAAGTAATAATATTAATAAAAAATAAAGCAAACATAAAATTAAAATATTAATAAAGCAACAATTTTTTTTTTTTAAAGCACTAATTTATTTCCGCTCGGAAGATCGAGCAATTGTCATTAAGTTTGAAGAGACTTTCGATCTCATGAGAATTGTAAATCCAAATAAATCCGGCCTCAAATGTAAGTCCAAATAATAATTTACCTTTTACCAAAACCCCTACTTCGCGCCCAATCTTCTCTGCTTGGAAGGTAATAGGAAGCTTTGCCCTAACAGAAGTTTTCTTCAAGTTGCGAAGGGAATAAGTTACTTTTACCTCGCAGAAGGTTTCTCAATCGTTACTCGAAATTGTGGTATTAATGAAGGTGGTATTCTGTAAATTTGGAACTTTTTCTTTGGATAACCTGACAGGATTCAATGCACTACTAAATTTTTAAATTACCTCGTAGCGGAATCCCTACTTTTGATAAAGACCACGAAAATGTACAGTATCTTAGTTAGAAAGTTCCCGTATCAGTAGTTTCGATGGTAATGCATAAATTCTTAAATTGATAAAAATATATATATATTTCTATAACTTTTCTAAAAAATATATTTTTAGTAAATTTTCTATATATATTGTACGTTTTTTTAAGATATATATTAAATAAGCTTGCTAAAAAATATATTATTATTATTTTTTAACACTCAAATTTTTATTAATATTTCTAAAAAATATATTGATTACAATTTTTGTAAATAAATTTTTTTTTTTTTGGTTTTCTATACTTTTAATATATAAAACAATTTAACTTTAAATTGCCATAAACTATATTTTAGTTTTAATATTTTTTCTAATATATATATCTTCAATAATTTTTCTAAAAATACATTTCTAATATTTCTAAAAATACATTTTTAATAATATTTTTAAACCCAAAAATTTCATAGTTCTTAATAAATATCTTTTTAATAATTCTTCTAATAAACAAATTTTTTAATAATTTTCTAAGCAATATAATTTTAATAATTTTTCTAAAAAAAAATTTTAGTAATATTTCTAAAAAAATATTTCTAATCATTTTTCCGAATATAAATTTTTGTATTTTTCTAGTATATTTATCTATTTAATACAATAATTTTTCTGAAAAATATATATTTTTAATTATTTTTTTGAAATAAATTTTTTAATTTCTAAAAGCAAATTTGTAATTGTTTTTCTTTAATATATATCTTTTTAATAATTTTTCAAAAATAAACATTTCGAATAATTTTTCTAAAAACCAATTTTTAATAGTTTTTCTAATATATATATATTGTATATATATGTATATATATATACATATAATTAGTTTTCTAAATAGTAAACGTTGTACTGATTTGATCGAATTTTTAATATGTTTCCTCAGGCCATATTTTTTAATAATTTTTTAAGTAAAATTAAAAATGTAAACTGCAAAAAAAAATTTAATATTTTTTCTGGAAAAAAATTATAGTTCGTCTAAAATATATATATTTTTTTAATTTCTAAAATCATATTTTTAATGAATATATACATATAATTGGCGTTTTGTTACCGCTGAAACGATTTCCGCCCGAGCTTACCCTCCAATTTGCGTCTTGATGTTTTTCCAAAATAAATATTTTTTTTTAATAATATTTTAAAAATAAATATTTCTAATCATTTCACTTGACTATATTTTTAATAATTTTTCTTAAAGTATATTTTCAATGATTTTTTTAAATCAGTTTTTTAATTTCTAAAAAATATTTTTCTTATATTTTTATACAAAATATACTAATTTTTGTATATTTTTGATAGTATTTCTAACAAAAAATTATTAGTGCTATTTTTAAATGATTTTCGGTTGAAATTTTTTTAAATAAATTTTCCGCTTTTATTTTCAAAGCACTGTATACGGGTCACACACACTTATATGCATTTATTCACCTCACTACTGTAGGCATTGTCGCGTTTTTTATTTAATATTTTTCTTTTTTTATATTTTGTATTGTATTTATTTATTTCACCGTTTTTCTTATTGCTCCTTTTCTGTTTACGTTTGCTTTTCGTCATTTGTGCTGCTGGCTTTTGCTTTCGCAGCGTGTGCGTCTGTTTGTCAGTCAGAGAGAAACAGAGAAACAGACAAGATATTCAGTATTGGCAACCAAACGTATCTTTAGATGTCTGCAGTCATGCTTACTTACATACATGCATACATACATACAAACATACATATGTGATTGTGTATTGTGTGCTGACTGTGTGGCGGCGGCCCCATGCGCCTCGCACAACATGGGTGGCCAGCGTCGCTAGTGTTGACTGCCTTCTAGCGATTGACTAACTGACTGCTTGACTTGTTGGCTAGCTGACTAGCCGACTAGTTGGCTGGCCGGCTGGCTGGCTGGCGAATTGCTTCTGTAGCGTATAAGCCGGCGGCTGATTGCAGAGTAAATTGTTTTCGGTTGTCGGTTGTTGGTCGTTGCGGTTTTTGTCCACTTTTACGGATACTTTGTTGTTATACGAGTGTACGCTGTGGTGGGCAAAAAAATATGTATGTATGTATGTAGATGTTTACGCGTGTGTGTTCCTTTTAACGTCGATCTGTCAGTCAGTCAGTCAGTGCTTGTGGTTTAAACAAATAAATATGTTCATACAGCTGTTTGCATGTTGTACAACAGCAGCAACAACAACACAATAAGTTAATACTAGCATACACAGTGTAATTTAGGCGGTGTAGTTAAGGAGTTAAAAACTCTACAACAACAGCAAAAATAAAAATGCACTTAAATTTTACGCTTTCTGCCAGTTCAACTGATCGTCAACATTTCGTCGTTTCCTATTTATGCTGATGCTGCTGCTTTTTTGGGAGGGAGTTTATACGCGTGTATGCAAAGTAAGGCTGATACACAAATACATATATACATATATACATACATATGTATGCACATAAATATGCATATGTAAATGAATGGAGCCAAACTAAATGAAGCCATCGTGAGTGGCACACGGCAACTGACTGCAATCATTGTCTTTCCCCATAGAGTCGCTTATTATTTCAGCATAAGTGAATGAAATCAATAAGAGAATTGACAAAAAAAAAAAAATAACAGAAAAGGTTTGTAACTGAAAAAGAAAAATAAAATTAAAATTAAAATTAAAATTAAAATTAAAATTAAAATTAAAATTAAAATTAAAATTAAAATTAAAATTAAAATTAAAATTAAAATTGAAATTAATAATAATAATAATAAATAATAATTTAAATTTAGAATTAAAATAAAAGCTAAGATTGTATTAAAAATAAACATTTTAATCAGAACTAAAATAAAAAAGAAGAAAAAAATTAAAATTAAAAATGTGCAGCTGGTTGCAGTTTAATAATGTTGTTGTTGCTGTAGCCGCAAAAATGTTCCCCAAATTAGTTTTTGGAGAATGCCGCGGGAGTGACAGTCCTTGGTCGCATTGAAATCCTGATCGTTGCGGTATAAAGTCCCGACTGTAGCGGGAACTTTTGCATTTCAGTCGCTTCTTACGACAAGCATGCCTTATCGCGGGAACCCCTACCCGGCGATGGCACAGTGAGATGCATTATGTGGTTTTCTAAAATAAGCAGCAAACAAAAATAAATTTATTTTTAGTTCTTCTATTGTTATTATTTAATATTATTTTTGTTCTTATCACTATGCTCGTTCCTATAATAAAATAATTTAATTATTTAAT